CGCCTGCCACCACGCCTGGCTAATTTTTGTATTTTTAGTAGAGATGGGGTTTCACCATGTTGGCCAGGTTGGTCTCGAACTCCTGACCTCAGGTGATCCACCCACCTCAGCCTCCCAAAATGTTGGGATTACAGTCGTGAGCCACCATGCCAGGCCACAAAATATTCTTTTGAGAAGAATGGAAGCCTTCTGGTCCTTCACCTATACCATCTTATGTTGGAAGGTCAAAGCCTTAAACTTGTTTTTTTTTCTTTTCTTTTCATAAGCTCTATAATGCAGTCAGAAATAGTCATCTATCCCACCATCTTTTTTTTTTTTTCTCCTCCTTCTTCTTCTTCTTTTAGACAGAGTCTCACTCTGTCGCCCAGGTTGGATTGCAGTCGTGCCATCTCAGCTCACTGCAACCGCTGCCTCCTGGGTTCAGGTGATTCTCCTGCCTTAGCCTCCTAAGAACCTAGGATTACATGCACGTGCCACCATATCCAGCTAATTTTTGTATTGTTAGTAGAGACAGGGTTTCTGCCATGTTGGCCAGGCTGGTCTTGAACTCCTGGCCTCAAGTGATCGACCTGCCCTGGCTTCCCAAATTGCTGGAATTACAGGCATGAGCCACTGCATCTGGCCTATTCCACAATCTTTTGCAATACCCATTGTTGCTATCAACAATCACTTGACTATGTAAAATTTCTTCCCTACTGACATCCCACCCCATGTCACCACTGGCAATAATTTGAATAACCTTGTTGTCACTGCATGCTACACATTATCACTATCAATAATGAATCTCATCATGAGGTTGTCAAGTATGTGTTTAAACCGGTCCTAGAATTCCAACTTGGGAACTGTTTGAACTGTTTCTGGGAGCCACCCCTTGTGCCAACTAGAGTTAGGTCTGACAGTAAACAGTATCTTACTCCAATAGTTCAAAAGACTTTAAGGAAGAAACTATATACAGAAGTGTGGGGAGGATTAAGGGAACCAATAAAGGATGCTGAAGTATCCAGAGACTAGCAACAAGGGAAACCACTGTCACTCCTAGGTCTGAAGGGGCAAAGAGAGAAAATATTATTGCTGCTCAGAGAGGGTTGGAGGATCATAGGAGGATGCTCTACCTCAAAAGCTATATATATAGTGGGATATAGCTCCCGCCAGAAAATATGGCTCAGAGTTGAAAGGGAACAAAACAGGAGGCTTCTAAAGCTGCTCTCTTCTCATCCTCAGCCTACGATGCCTCTTGGTAGAATTAGAAGTGAGCTCATAAGGAGCCCAGGTGGCATAATCTGAAGGAATGAACGTCAGTGGTCACAGTTGCATGGTAAACACACCAGACAGTGATAACGTAAGCATACCCTAAGAATGACCCTATATTCTAAGAACATTGTATGTTCACAATTCCAACCTAAGGAATCCAGGAGTAGCCAACCAGAGATTCATTTGGAGGTTGTTGTCAGCTGGGATTGCGCCACTGCACTCCAACCTGGGTCACAAAGTGAGACTCCGTCTCAAAAAAGAAAATTAAGGCTGGGCACGGTGGCTCACGCCTGTAATCCCAACACTTTGGGAGGGCTCTGCCTTTTGTAATCCAAGGCAGGTGGATCAGGAGGTCAGAAGACGAGCCTGGCCAATATGGTGAAACCCTGTCTCTACTAAAAATACAAAAATTAGCCGGGCATGGCCCAGCTACTCAGGAGGCTGAGGCAGGAAAATAACTTGAACCTGGGAGGCGGAGGTTGCAGTAGGCCGAGATTTTTCCACTGCACTCCAGCCTGGATGACAGATGGAGATTCCATCACACACACACACACACATACACACACACACACATTAAAATAAATAAATTTGTAGGAGTTTTTAAAGCCACAGAGTTTAAAACTTTTGTGTGTTTTAGATTTTTTTTTAGAGACTAGTTCTCCCTATGTCACCCAGGACAGAGGGCAGTAGCACAACCATAGCTCACTATAACCTTGAACTCCTGGGCTCAAGTGAACTTCTGAGCCTCCCAGAGCCCTGGGATTATAGGCGTGAGCCACTGTGTGTGGCCCAAAAACAATTTTTTTTTTTTTTTTTTTTTTTTTGAGACGGAGTCTCGCTCTGTCTCCCGGGCTGGAGTTGCAGTGGCCGGATCTCAGCTCACTGCAAGCTCTGCCTCCCGGGTTCACGCCATTCTCCTGCCTCAGCCTCCCGAGTAGCTGGGACTACAGGCGCCGCCACCTCGCCCGGCTAGTTTTTGTATTTTTAGTAGAGAAGGGGTTTCACCATGTTCACCAGGTTGGTCTCGATCTCCTGACCTCGTGATCCACCCGTCTCGGCCTCCCAAAGTGCTGGGATTACAGGCTTGAGCCACCGCGCCCGGCCAAAACAATTTTTTTTTTAAGATACGAAGTCTCGCTCTGTCGCCCAGGCTGGAGTGCAGTGGCGCGATCTCTGCTCACTGCAAGCTCCGTCTCCCGGGTTCACATCATTCTCCGGCCTCAGCCTCCTGAGTAGATGGGACTACAGGCACCCGCCACCACGCCCGGCTAATTTTTTTTTTTTTTTTTTTTTTTTTTTGTAATTTTAGTAGAGACAGGCTTCCACCTCGTTAGCCAGGATGGTCTCGATCTCCTGACCTCGTGATCTGCCAATCTCGGCCTCCCAAAGTGCTGGGATGACAGGCGTGAGCCACTGCGCCCAGCCCCAAAAGTTATTTTTTAATTCAACATGAGTACATGTTGAAGAGAAGTATGACAGGTGATGAAGAAAATTACTTTCAAGGATAAAAATACTTTCATTAGAATAAAATTCTATTGGATAAGTGCAATAAAAATAAGTTCAGAAAAAAGAACCATGGAAAATTTCCAGTTGTTCACGAAAAATGTACGGGTTTTTTGTTTTGTTTTGTTTTTGTCCAGGCTGGAATGCGGTGGCACCATCTTGCCTCACTGCAACTTCTGCCTCCTGGGTTCAACTGATTCTCCTGCCTCAGCCTCCTGAGAAGCTGGGATTACAGGCGCGTGCCACCACACCTGGCTAATTTTTGTATTTTAAGTAGAGGCGGGGTTTCACCATGTTGGTCAGGCTGATCTTGAAGTTCTGACCTCAAGTGATCCGCCCGCCTCAGCCTCCCAAAGTGCTGGGATTACAGGTGGAGCCACGGCACCCAGCCAAGTTTGTGTGTTTTTAAAAAAAGTCTGAGAGTTATCACATCACTATTATATTTCCATTCCTTTTCAAACAATTAAAAGAGAGCTGCAACAATTTCAAAACGAGAATATTTATATCAGAAATTTAATCCTTTAAAGTCAAGATAAAAATTTTAGATGTCAACACAAAAAATGTATGAACGGATATAAATGTGTGTGTATATACATATTATATATATATATTTTGCATGTATATAATGCTTTTAGGGAGTACCTAGGCAAAACATTTTTAGGAACACAGGAAGAGGAGGTAGATGTCTAGTTTTAGAGACTCACTATAAAATATGGTGCCCTGCCCAATTTCTGGAATTTTTGTCTCTTTTTTACAGCCCTCAAAGTTCAGAGAGTCTCAGGCTGTAGGTCAATTTAGGGCTAAAAGAGAATTCTAGATATCCGGAAGGATTGGTACCTAAGATTATGGTTATATGGCTACTTTATGCACTTAAAACTCTTACGTTTGGCCGGGCGTGGTGGCTCACGCCTGTAATCCCAGCATTTTCAGAGGCCGAGGCGGGCAGATCACGATGTCAGGAGTTAAAGACCAGCCTGGTCAACATGGTGAAACCTGTCTCTACTAAAAATACAAAAATTAGCTGGACATGGTGGCGCGTGCCTGTAATACCAGCTACTCCGGAGGCTGAGGCAGGAGAATTGCTTGAACCTGGGAGGCAGAGGTTGCAGTGAGCCGAGATTGCGCCATTGCACTCCAGCCTGGGCTACAGAGGGAGACTCCGTCTCAAAAACAAACAAACAAAACAAAACAAACAAACAAAAAAACTCTTACATTTACTGTTTTGAAAACCTATTGGGAACATCAGTTTGACAAGAAATATCTTTAAAATTCTAACAAGAGACTTAAAAAAGAACTTTGAACATACGACAGTTTAAAGCACATTTATATGCATAGAAAGACTTAAAAATACAATTTTTGCCAAGTGAAATATTAAACAGCATGTTTCATTATATTTGCTATAGATGCCAATAGAGTTGGCATTTTCAATGAGGTATGTTTCCTGCTTATGTAATAGTCGCTTATCATAGAAGCTGTAAAATCAATCTGGAATTTCTCTTGCCAAATTGCTGCCTGTTCTTGACATTTTATATTATTAAATATATAAAATCTATAAATACTTTTAGCACACTTTCACTAAAAGGAGCACTAGTAAGTAGCAGGCCTTGCCTTGTATTTCATTAGCCAAGTCAAAACTTCTGAGCCATGCGAAATAGAAAGAGGGGTCCTAGGGCATTTTATGCCCAGGGCAACGAATGCCAAAATCAGTTTTGCTAGGAGCTGTGCTAAGTGCTTTTCATAAAATATGTAAATTAACCTACAGCCAACTCCATGTGGTATTATTTTCACTATTTTACCTAGAAGGAAATGGAAGCTTAGAAAACTCAAGCAATTTACAGAAAGTCAGAGTTAACAGAGCAAGGAAACCTGAACAGAGTGCAGCCTCCGCTCACCAGAAACTGTCAAAGAACCACATTTACTAGTACTTCAGACACAAATTCTGCGAAACAAGGCGTATCTACTCTTGTTTTACTCCCAGACACTTCCCTGTCCCGGTTAGATCAGTGGTGGTTTTCATTCAAATTTAAGTGTGTAACAGTGTCCCCGGGAGGGCTTTGTTAAAACAGATTGTTGTACGCGCCCCCTCCCCCCGCCCGCCCCGAGTGTTTGATTCAGTAGGTGTAGTTTGGGATCCAGAATCTTTCTATTTTCTTTTCCTTCTGTTTTGTTTTGTTTTTGAGACAGGGTCTCGCCCTGTCGCCCAGGCTGGAGTGCAATCGTGCGATCTCGGCTCACTGTAGCCTCCAACTCCCCAGCTCAAGCGATCCTCCAGCCTCAGCCTCCGGAGTAGCTGGGGCCACGGGCGCGCGCCACCACGGCCGATTTTTTTTTTTTTTTTGGTAGAGACGGGGGTCTCACTATGTTGCCCACGCTGGTCTCAAACTCCTGGGCTCAAGCGATCCTCCCGCTTCAGCCTCCCAAGGTGCTGGGATTACAGATGGAGCCACCGCGCCGGGCATCGATAATCTGCATCTTCAACCAGCTCCCGGGAGACGTTGATGCAGCTGGTCCGGGGACCACTCTTCGAAAATCATTGGTTTAGAGGTTTTAATCCTGAATGCACTGGGAAAAGTGTTGGGCGGACAGAGCACTGCTAACTCCTAACTTTTCTCAGAAACCTGGGCTCTGCATTCGCCAACAACTCGGTCCCAAGTCGCGGGCATATTCTGTCTGAAATCGTGTGCACCGCAATCGCCGCCTTGGGGTGGAGGATGGCGCTAGGCGGCCTCAGCCTCCGCCTGCTGCTCGCAGGAACCCGCGCCCCGGCTCCTCGGCGATCCATTGCTCTCTCCGCTGACGCCGGCCGCAGGTCTCGGTCACGCCCCCGGCGGCCCGTTGGTTCGCGGGTCCCGCGGGGTGCCCCCGCCCACACGCTATGCCTTAAGTTGGGCCAGGCTGAGGCGTTGCTGCTCGAGCGGCCGATCCGAGACGTGGCTCCCTGGGCGGAAGAACCATGTTGGACTTCGCGATCTTCGCCGTTACCTTCTTGCTGGCATTGGTGGGAGCGGTGCTCTACCTCTACCCGGTGAGCGTCGTCTTGGCTTTCTGGGGCCCTGGGCGCCGCCCCAGCCTCTCTGTCGCCCGCATCCAGGCCGACCTGCCCGCTGCGGGCCGCAGGGGGCGGGCCTGAGGGGAGGGCTCGGGATCCCTCCGGGGCTTCGGCTCGGGGACCGCACCCGGAGTCACGTGACGCCCCACCGGGCAAGCGCTGAGAGCTACGTGGGCTGCGCCGCTACGCCTCAGGCGCCTGGCCAGGCTGGCTGTAGCTGCTGAGGAAAAACCCGCGCCTCCGCGGGCCGACCTCACCTTGACAGGCACCCCGCGCCACTCTCCAAGGCGGCTCTCAAGTACTTTGGGCGGCTTTTTGGCAATAACTCCGCTAAACCCAAATTTCATTTCCCGGTGTGTCGGAGGAGACTCCTGGGCGCGCCACTCCTTTCTCCTTTCTTGAGGATTCTGCCAGCACTTGTGTCTTCCTCCTTTCCTTCTGTCCATCGATCTATCCTGACTGGAATCCAAAGTGCTTGAGGTCCAGGTCTTGCTCCTCTGAGGGACTCCAGGGCAAATGCTTCTCTCGGGGAGAGCGCCGCGCTGCCGGTTCGGGTGCGAGCTTGCCTCGGCCGCTGCCGTCTCTCCGAGCCTCCTGTCCTCCGCTCTCCACTAGCCTCCGTCCCCCAGAGAGGGAGGGTCTGAAAACAAAAGCGTTGATGGCTGAGGACCGTCTTTAAAACCTGTTCTACGCACTTTGGGAGGCTGAGGCGGGCGGATCACGAGGGCAGGATATGGAGACCATCCTGGCCAACATGGTTACACACCGTCTCTACTAAAAATACAAACATTAGCCGGGTGTGGTGGCGGGCGCCTGTAATCCCAGCTACTCAGGAGGCTGAGGCAGGAGAATCGCTTGAACCTGGGAGGCTGAGGTTGCAGTGAGCCAAGATTGCACCACTGTACTCCAGCCTGGTGACAGAGTGAGATTCCGTCTCAAAAGAAAAGAAAACAACAACACTTGTTCTACAAAGCAAGGTGGTGGTTTTACAGTGAAAGTTGAAAAGTAGCTGAACTGCTGGAATTGACCATACACTTTCTTAAATGTTCTTTTCCGAGCAGGTAAATGGATTAGGCTGGAATCTTGCAACTACACAATAAGGGATTTCCTGAAATCTTATTTTCTGAGAAACTAAACAATTTCAGTGGTTCTTGAATTTTTGGTGGTTTTAAAATGATACTCTTCTTTGATCAGCTCATAGAAGCACACTGTTTATTCTTGGCACTAGATATGTGCCAGATACGGTTCCATGTGCTGGGAATCCAGCCATGAACAAACCAGACAGAAAATTCCTGACTCTTGGAATTTACTTCCTAGAGAAGGGGAACAGACAGTAAAAACAAGTAATATAGGATTGTGCGTAGAAATAAAGTTGGGGATAGGTAGATTGTTATTTCAAAGTAGGATAGCCGGGAGCTAAGGAGACATTTCAGCAGAGACTGGAAGAAGGTGAAGGTGCAAGCCATTCAGGTATCTTGAGAAAGAGCATTCCGGGTCGAGGGAGCAGCAAATACAAACCCTAAGAGGGAGACCCGCCTGGTGTGTTCCTGGAAAGCAAGGGGACCAGTGTGGTTAGAATGTAGTAAATGAGGAAGAGACCAGAGGAGAGAAAGTCAGAAGGATGGGGGTGAAGGACAAATTTTAAATGACTTGTAAGGCTAGGCTTTTTTTTAATGGACTTTTGCTGTGTGCCACTGGAGGATTTCAGCCATTTGAAATTGGATAGAATTAAAATTTAATATTATTAGATAAATTTTAAAAGAATCATTCTGGTTGCCAAGTCATGAATAGACTTGGGTCTCCAGGTAAGGATGGAAGCAAGCCGAGTAATTAGGAGGATATTATCATTTCAGTTTGGATCATGTTAGTAGTGGCAGAGATAATGAGAACTAGTCAGTTGTGAAGATAGTGCCAATGGGCTTTCCCAGTGGATTGGATGTGAAATGTGAAAGAGAGGCATCAAGGAAAACACCAGTTATTTTTAGCCTGGTATCTGGAAGGATGGATTAATTCCAGGGAAGATCAGCGGTTTTGTTGTTGTTGGTTGTTCTTTAGTTTTGTTTTGGTGGGAGGTAGTGAGGATTTATAGAGATTAGGAGTTGGTTTTGGGTAGGCTAGGTTTTTTTTTTTGAGACGGAGTCTCGCTCTGTCGCCCAGGCTGGAGTGCAGTGGCCGGATCTCCGCTCACTGCAAGCTCCGCCTCCCGGGTTTACGCCATTCTCCCGCCTCAGCCTCCCGAGTAGCTGGGACTACAGGCGCCCGCCACCTCGCCCGGCTAATTTTTTATACTTCTTTTTAGTAGAGACGGGGTTTCACCGTGTTAGCCAGGATGGTCTCGATCTCCTGACCTCGTGATCCGCCCGTCTCGGCCTCCCAAAGTGCTGGGATTACAGGCGTGAGCCACCGCGCCCGGCCTGGGTAGGCTAGGTTTGAGATGCCTGTTAGACATCCAAGTGGAGATGTTGATGAGTAACTGAATATATGTCTTGAGTTTATGGGAAAAGTCCAGGCTGAAGATACACATTTGGGAGCTATCAATGTATAGATGGTATTTAAAGCGAGGAGAACCGGTTGCTATCTCCCAGACAATTTAGATACCGGAGAGAAGAGGTCCCAGGGACCATACCCTGGATTCTCCAATGTTAATGGTTGAGGAGAGAAACAAGAGCCAGCAAAGGAGACTGAGAAGGAGCAGCCACATAAATAGAAGGAAGCCAGATGTTTTAAGCAGAAGAGAAGCAGAAGAGGATAATCAGCTAAGTCAAATGCTGCAGATATGTCAAGTAAGTTAAGGCCTAAGAATTTAGTAACATTGAATCGTTTTTTTGTTTCGTTTTGTTTTGTTTTGTTTCGTTTAAGAGACAGAGTCTCTCTCTTGCCCAGGCTGGAGTACAGTGGTACCATCATAGCTCATTGTAACCTCAAACTCCTGGCTCCAAGCGATCCTCCCACCTTAGCCTCTCAAGTTGCTGGGACTACATGCGCATGCCACCACACCTGGCTAATTTTTAAATTTTTAATTTTTTGATACAAAGTCTTGCTCTGTCGCCCAGGCTGGAGTGCAGTGGCATGATCTCTGCTTACTGCAGCCTCTGCCTCCCAGGTTCAAGCGATTCTCCTGCCTCAGCCTCCCAAGTAGCTGGGACTGAAGGCACACACCACCACGCCCAGCTAATTTTTTTATTTTTAGTAGAGACAAGATTTCACTATGTTGGCCAGGCTGGTCTCGAACTCCTGACCTCAAGTGATCTGCCCACCTTGGCCTCCCAAAGCACTGGGATTACAGGCATGAGCCACCGCACCCAATCTAATTTTTAAATTTTTTATAGAAATGAGGTCCCACTGTGTTGCCCAGGCTGGTCTTGAACTTCTGGGCTGAAGTGATCCTCCTGCCTTAGTCTTCCAAAGATTCAGGATTACAGGCATGAGCCACTGCAACATTTGTACTCTTAAGAAGAGTGGTTTCATGTAATTGGGGTGATAAACCTAAATGGGTGGATTCAGAGATATCAAGTATAGATAGCTTTTTAGAGTTTGGCGGTAAAGGGTGCTGGTAACTAGAGAGGGAAGTGAGGTGACGAAATTCTTAAGGTAGGAGAAATTACATTATGCTGATGAGGGCTGTCAAGTCATGAAGGAGAAGCTGATGATGTAAGAAGCTTATGGCCAGCACAGTGACTCAAGCCTATAATCCCAGCACTTCGGGAGGCTGAGGTGGGAGGATTGCTTGAACTCAGGAGTTTGAGACTAGACTGAGCATTATAGTAAGACCCTGTCTCTAAAAAAATAAATAAGTAAGTAAATAAATTAGGCATGGTGGTGAGTATCTGTGGTCCCTGGTCCCAGCTACTTGGGAGGCTGAAGCAGGAGGATCGCTTGAGCCTGGGAGATCGAGGCTGCAGTGAGCCAAGATGGCGCCATTGCACTCCAGACTGGGTGACAGAGTGAGACCATGTCTCAAAAAAAAAAAAAAAGCTTAGGTTCCATGGTCTGTTACTATAATCACTCCTTTGCATATACCTTCAACTCCTTTGCCCTGTATCCTTTGTCATAATCATCTAGCAAACCCTAATTGTGATTAAATCCAATGCTCTGTCAATTCTGCCCCTGAACCCACACAGCTGGGAAAAAAAAAAAAAGGCGGAAAAGAACACAGCCATACTGACTAGTCTCATTTTAAATTCATGTACCTTAAGTGGGGTATCTGGAAATCACCTGGTGTATCCAGTCTCCAAATCTTCCAGATAACTTTTCGTTCCTTCCCTGTCTTCAAATCTTCTGTCTTCACCAATAACTGATAATTTCCTTTTTGTTTTTTTGAGGCGGAGTCTTACTCTGTCACCCAGGCTGGAGTGCAATGGTGTGGTCTTGGCTCACTGCAACCTCCACCTTCCGGGTTCAAGCAATTCTCCCACCTCATCCTCCTGAGTAGCTGGGACTACAGGCGTGTGCCACCACATCTGGCTAATTTTTGTATTTTTAGTAGAGATGGTGTTTCACTATGTTGGCCAGGCTGGTCTTGAACTCCTGACCTCGTGATCTGCTCTCGCCTCCTTCCCTCCTTCCCTCCCTCCCTCCCTCCCTTCCTTCCTTTCTTCTCTCCCTCCCTCCCCCACCTCCTTCCCTCCCTCCCTGCTTGCTTGCTTTCTCTCTCTCTCTCTCTTTCCCTCCCCCTCCCTCCCTCCCTCCCTCTCTCTTTCTTTCTCTCTTTCTCTCTCTCTCCCTTTCCTTTCCTGTCCTGTCCTGTCCTTTCCTTTTTTTCTTTCGACAGAGTCTCGCTCTGTCTCCCAGGCTGGAGTGCAGTGACATGATCTCGACTCACTGCAACCTCCGCCTCCTGGGCTCAAGAGATTCTCTGCCTCTGCCTCCTGAGTAGCTGGGATTACAGCGCCCACCACCACGCTCTGCTAATTTTTGTATTTTTAATAGAGACGGGGTTTCAACATGTGTGCCAGGCTGGTTTTGAACTCCTGACCTCAAGTGATCCACCCACCTCGGCCTCCCTAAGTGCTGGGATTACAGGCATGAGCCACTGCTCCTGGCCTCTTTTTTTGAAACAGGGTCTCACTCTGTCACCCAGGCTGGAGTGCAATGATGTGACCTTGGCTTACTGCATCCTCGACCTCCTAGGCTCAAGTGATCCTTCTGCCTCAGTCTCCTGAGTAGCTAGGACTACAGCGCTAACCACTGCACCTGGTGAATTTTTTGTACTTTTTAGAGAGACAGGATTTCGCCACGTTGCCCAAGCTGGTCTCAAACTCCTGGACTCAAATGATCATCCTGCCTTGGCCTCACAAAGTACTGGGATTACCGATGCAAACTACCACACCTGGCCTATTTCATTGAAAAAATAAAACCAATCTGGAGATAATTTCCACACCACCCTGCCTATCTGCCTAAATGTGTGCCCTTATATTCCATGTTCCCTCCTATTACTATGAACTGGCTATGCTCCCAATTAAATGTCCCCCCCCCATCTCTTCACTCCTGTACTAGATCTCCTACCTTCCCACCCACTCAAGAAAATGGGTCCGGCACAGCAGTTTTTTGTTTCCTTTTTTTTTTTTTGAGACAGAGTCTCACTCTGTCACCCAGGCTGAAATGCAGTGGTGCAATCACAGCTCACTGCAACCTTCGCCTCCCAGGTTCAAGCGATTCTCATGCCTCAGCCTCCTAAGTAGCTGGGACTACAGGAGTGTGCCACCATGCCCAGCTAATTTTTGTATTTTTAGTTCAGACGGGGTTGCCGTGTGTGTCAGGCTGGTCTTGAACTCCTGACCTCAAGTGATCATCCACCTCAGCCTCTGAAAGTGCTGGGATTACAGGCAGGAGGTGCTGCGCCCTGCCAAGCACAGCAATTTTCTTCTGTTTCTTGCATCATCATCATGAAACTCTTAGAATGGACCTTGATTTTTTTTTTTTTTAAAGCCAAACCAGCTGGGACCATATATAAACTCAGAACAAAGAAAGAAAAATGTACTGGGTATGTGTTACTTGATGTAAAGTGTGTATTAAATTCTTTAAACACCTTAGTTTAATTGACACAGAGGAAGAATAATACCCTGAATGAAATCATTCTTTTTTTTTTTTTTTTTTTTTGAGACAGAGTTTTGCTCTGTCGCCCAGGCTGGAGTTCAGTGGCGTGATCTCAGCTCACTGCAAGCTCCACCTCCCGGGTTCACACCATTCTCCTGTCTCAGCCTCCCAAGTAGCCGGGACTACAGGCGCCCACCACCATGCCCGGCTAATTTTTTGTATTTTTAGTAGAGATGGGGTTTCACCGGGTTAGCCAGGATGGTCTCAATCTCCTGACCTCATGATCTGTCTGCCTTGGCCTCCCAAAGTGCTGGGACTACAGGCGTGAGCCACTGCGCCCGGCCTTTTTTTTTTTTTTTTTTTTTTGAGATGGAGCCTTGCTCTGTCGCCCAGGCTGTAGTGCAGTGGCACGATCTCGGCTCACTGCAACCTCTGCCTCCTGGGTTCAAACAATTCTCCTGCCTCAGCCTCCCGAGTAGCTGGGACTACAGGTGTGTGCCACCACGCCCAGCCAGTTTTTTATATTCTTAGTAGAGAAAGGGTTTCACTGTTAGCCAGGATGGTCTTGATCTCCTGACTTCGTGGTCTGCCCTCTTCAGCTTCCCAAAGTGCTGGGATTACAGGCCTGAGCCACTGCGCCCGGCCGAAATAATTCTTTAAAAAAAAAAAAAAATTCATTTTAAGTTCAGGGGTACAAGGGCAGGTTTGTTATATAGGTAAACTTGTATCATGGGGGTTTGTTGTATAGATTATTTCATCACCCAGGTAATTATTAAGCCTAGTACCCATTAGCTGTTTTTCCTGATCCTCTCACCTTTTGAAAGGCCCCAGCATGTGTTGTTCCCCTCTATGTGTCCATGTGTTCTCATCATTTAGCTCCCACTTCTAAGTGAGAACATGTAGTATTTGGTTTTCTATACCTGTATTAGTTTGCTAAAGAAAATGGCCTCCATCTCCATCTATATCCCTGCAAAGGACATGGAAATCATTCTTTTCCATGCAAAGAATCCCTTTTTTTGTATTTTAATATGGAAATGATTTCTTAGATTCAACTTAATTGGAAAGCCATTATTTAAGGTCCTGCAGATGTGTTGGTGAAACACATCTTACTTATGGGTTATATGATAATTCATTATTATAAACTTTTTTTTTTAAGGCTTTCAGACAAGCTGCAGGAATTCCGGGGATTACTCCAACTGAAGAAAAGTGAGTAATTATTTTCTTGGAATTCAGTAGAGTTAATTCTTCATTATTGATATCAAGACAAAACCATATTTTTAGCCAATCATGGTAGCTCTTGCCAGCTACTGAGGAGGTTGAGGTGGAAGATCGCTTGAGGCCAGGAGTTTAATGCTGCAGTGAGCTATAATTGTGCCACTGCACTCTAGCCTAGGTGACAGAGCCAGACTGTGTTTCTAAAAGATAAATAAATAAAAAGAAAACTAAGGTTATTTTGTGGTAGGACTAGGGAGACAGATGGAATAGAGTAGGTAGTTCAGAAGACAAACCAAAATGATAAACCATATTTTTAGATTACTCATCTTATTCAATTCATTTCCTTTGATTGCCCTACCTTTACCTTGGCAGGTAACCTAAACTTTGTTAACAGAAAAGAGAGTCGTGTAAATCAAAACATTTCATTGCTTTCACTTCCCCTTGCCAGAGAAAGCTGAAAAGAAGATTAAGATAGAAGGAAAGAAGGAAAAGATCGCCATAGCTGATCTGATGATTTTCACCAGCTGATGATGTCCGTTGTCATCTCAGAATTAGGTGCTGGGAAAGTGGGATAGTTTCCAGTATCTAAGTCAGATGTTCCTATGGAGCTTTCTTACTTGGTTTGAAGTGTTAAGAATTCTTAAAATATCAGACAAATCCATATCTAAATATAACTATAGAAATATAGCAAGAAGGCAAATATAATTGAGTTTTGGATTTTGGACTAATTTGAATTTCATGAACCTTTGTTCTCATTTATTGACACAGTTAATTCAGAGTCAACTGTTGTTTTTCTGATTTTTCCAAGTTAAATTGATGATTTTGTCAAATGTTGCTCTTTTGCCAGAGATGGTAATCTTCCAGATATTGTGAATAGTGGAAGTTTGCACGAGTTCCTGGTTAATTTGCATGAGAGATATGGGCCTGTAGTCTCCTTCTGGTTTGGCAGGCGCCTCGTGGTTAGTTTGGGCACTGTTGATGTACTGAAGCAGCATATCAATCCCAATAAGACATGTAAGTTTCATTTTCTTTCTAATTACCTGATCCTTACCTTTTAAGAATGAATGTTTAGCCTGGGCACGGTGGCTTATGCCTGTAATCCCAACACTTTGGGAGGCTGAGGCAGGTGGATCACTTGAGGCCAGGAGTTCAAGACCAGCCTGGCCAACATGGTGAAACCCCTTCTCTACTAAAAATACAAACACTAATCGGGTGTGGTGGCACATGCCTGTAATCCCAGCTACTTGGGAGGCTGAGGCATGAGAATCTCTTGAACCCGGGAGGCGGAGGCTGCAGTGAGCCAAGATTGTGCCGCTGTACTCCAGCCTGGGCGACAGAGCGAGACTGTGTCTCAAAATAAAAAAAGAATGAATGTTTATAAATAAAGAACTGTATATATACATTGTTCTTGGATAGGAATAGCCAACATTTATTGAATGCTTTGTACTATGTGCTAGGCACTGTGCTGAAGTCTTATTAACTCATTTAAGATAATATTTTGAATAATTGTGTTTTTCCTTAATTTATAAGCATATATGATAAAATCTCAGTGTAAATTCCAACAGGATTTTTTTGGGACCCTGAAAAAATAGTTCCAAGGTGTATCTGGAAGAGTAAATGTACATAAGCAGCCAGGAAACAATCCTAAAAAGAGTATTAATGGGCTGGGCATGGTGGCTCATGCCTGTAGTCTCAGCACTTTGGGAGGCCGAGGCAGGTGGATCATGAGGTCAGGAGATTGAGACCATCCTGGCCAACATGGTAAAACCTTGTCTCTACTAAAGATACAAAATTAGTTAAGCATGGTGGTGTGTGCCTGTAGTCCCAGCTACTCGGGAGGCTGAGGGAAGATAATTGCTTGAACCTGGGAGGTAGAGGTTGCAGTGAGCTGAGATTGTGCCACTGCACTCCAGCCTGGGCAACAGAGTAAGACTCTGTCTTCCAAAAGAAAGAATATTGATGAGGGAAATACTTGTACCATCAGTTAGTATAGAGTATTATAAAGCTAGATTAATTTAAAGAACCTTGTACTGGCCAGGCGCAGTGGCTCATACCTATAATCCCAATGCTTTAGGAGGCTAAGGTGGGATGATCACTTGAGCCCAGGAGTTCAAGACCAGTCTGGGCAACATAGTGAGACCCCATCTCTACAAAAAATACAAAAATTAGCCAGATGTGATACATGTGTCTGTAGACCTGCTACTTGGAAGGCTGAGGTGGGAGGATTGCTTGAGTTCAGGAGATTGAGGCTTCAGTGAGCCAAGGTTGTGCCACTTTACTTCAGCCAGGCAGCCAGGGGACAGGGCAAGAACCTGTCTCTTAAAAAAAAAGAATCTCCTGGCTGGGCATGATGGCTCCTGTCTGTAGTCCCAGCACTTTGGGAGGCCAAAGCAGGCTGATCACCTGAGGTCGGGATTTCGAGACCAGCCTGGCCAACATGGTGAAACCCTGTCTCTACTAAAAATACAAAAATTAGCCAGGCCTGGTGATGTGCGCCTGTAATCCCAGCTACTTGGGAGACTGAGGCAGGATAATCTCTTGAACCCGGGAGGCAGAGGTTGCAGTGAGCTGAGATCACACCACTGCACTCCAGCCTGGGTGACAGAGAGAGACTTCATCTCAAAAAAAAGACTCTCATGCTATGGTCAGGCTAGGCAAACAGATGTAAAAGAGTGGAGAGTTCAGAAGACAAACCAAATATATATGATAAAGATAGTATTTTATGACAAAAGGGAAAAGTAATAAATGGTTTGGGGAATATGGGTTAGCTATTTGTACAAAATAAATCTCAATCCGTGCCTTATTCTATTCCTCGCCCCCCGCCCTTTGCCCAAGCTAGAGCGCAGCAGTGCTGTCATAGCTCACTGTATAACCTACAACTCCTGGGCTCAAGCAATCCTCCCACCTCAGCCTCCTGAGTAGGTGGGACTATAGGCATGCAACACCCTGCCTGATGAATTTATTTACTTTTTAGTGGAGATGAGGTCTCGCTACATTGCCCAGGCTGGCCTCCAACTCCTAGACTCAAGTGATTCTCCCACCTCTGCCTTCCAAAATGCTGGGATTATAGGTGTGAGCCACTTCACCTGGCCTCTGCCTTATTTCTTATATCAAAATAAGAAATTTGATATATTTCTTATATCAAAATAGATGATTAAAATATCAGGTCATAAAGGTAATACAAGAAAACATGGTTAAATATTAAATTTTTTCTCTTTGGTTGGAGATAATGTAGATAAACCTCTTCTTAAAATGGTAAAAGATCTAGGAGCTGTAAAACACAAGTTAGATAAATCTGTCCACATAAAAGTGAAAAATTTTAGTACAATAACAAATACTTTGAATGGATGCGGTAGCACGTACCTGTAGTCCCAGCTACTCAGGAAGCTGAGGTGGGAAGATCACTTGAACCCAAGAGTTGAAGACCAGTCTGGGAGACACATTGAGACTGTCTCTAACTTAAAAAACAAAGTCAAAATCACCTTGAGAAAGGAAGAAAGAAAGATAGTAAAATGTTGGCCACACATTGCTACACCTGATGTGTAGTAATTGATTACCATATTTTTGTTAAATAAAAAGGCACCATGACAAAGTTTAAAAGAGAAATGGAAAAGTAATTTACCACCAATATGTTAAATATATATAGTACTTAAAAACTAATAAGAAAAAATAGGCCAGGCATGGTAGCTTACGCCTGTAATCTCAGCAGTTTGGGAGACTAAGGTGGGCAGATCATCTGAGGTCAGGAGTTTGAGACCAGCCTGGCCAACATGGTGAAACCCCATCTCTACTAAAAATACAAAAATTAGCTGAGCATGGTGGCAGATACCTGTAATCCCAGCTACTCGAGAGGCTGAGGCAGGAAAATCGCTTGAACCTGTGAGGAGGAGGTTGCAGTGAGCCAAGATCGTTGGCTCTGTCACTCCAACCTGGATGACAGATGGAGACTCCATCTCAAAAGAGAAAATGCCCTTTTAGAAAAATAGGGAGAAACAAGGTTATTAAGAAAGGAGTAAACAAATTTAAAGATTTCAGCCTCACTAATATTCAGTTGGGTACAAATAAAAATGAGAAATTGACCGGGCACAGTGGCTCAAGCCTGTAATCCCAGCACTTTGGGAGGCGGAGGCAGGTGGATCACAAGGTCAGGAGATCGAGACCACGGTGAAATGCCATCTCTACTGAAAATACAAAAAAAATTAGCCGAGCGTGTTGGCGGGCGCCTGTAGTCCCAGATACTCGGGAGGCTGAGGCAGGAGAATGGCGTGAACCCGGGAGGCAGAGCTTGCAGTGAGCCGAGATCGCGCCACTGCACTCCAGCCTGGGCGACAGAGCGAGACTCCGTCTCAAAAAAAAAAAAAAAGAGAAATTTTACTTATCTCCCTAGAAGAGATGAAGAATACCGGCAGAATGCATTGTCCATGAGGGAATGGGGAGTCACGTGGTGTACATGTGCTATACAGCTCTCTGGAGAAAAACTTGACAGTAACCATTGACCTAACAATAATATCTTAAGAAGTTGATACATAAATTGATAATCACAGATATGAGAAAATATTTATATTAGCATTGTTTATAAAAAATATTTGAAGCAACCTAAATATCAATGGCTGAATAAATGAATACTTTCAGGCCTGAATATGATGATGTAGACTGGTTTTATCAGATACTTATATAGCAATTATTATATCTCAGCACTATTCCAAGCCCTTTACAAATACTAACTCATTTAATTCTCAGAACAACTTCATGAAGAGGGTATTATGGTTATCCCTTTTTTGCAGAAGAGAAACCTGAGGCACAGAGAGGTTAAGTTACTTGCCTAAGGTCACAGCTAATTAGTGATGGAGCTAGGACTTGAAGTCAGGCAGTCTGGTTCAAGATTGTACTTTTGTAGAACAAGGATCTCTGAGGAAGAAAAAAAAAGATTGTGCTTTTAATTACTAGGCTTTATACAACAAGAAAAGATGGCTCTGTTGGGGAATATAATGAGAAAAACCAGAATGGTCTCTGCTCCTATGGAGTTTCTAGGCTAATGTTGGAGAGTGAGGGAAGTATGTAAACATCCAAATTATCACACTAATGAACTGAGAGAAGTGCTCTGAAAGAGGGGAATGTAATTCTTTGTGAAATCTGACAGATTTTTCTGTCTCTCTCTGTTAAGAAATGTTAACAGCTGTGAAAAATGTCTAAAATATTAACAGTATCTCTGATGCATTTTGCTGTCTTTTCTGTATTGTTTGAATTGTTTTTACAATGACAGTGTATCTTTGTATGCGTCTGAAAACAATAGTCATTAAAGAAACAAGAATTGGAGAAAATAAATTTTTGAATTCAGCTAAATAATTTTACTGTAATACTTGATAACCACAAACCACAAACTTAGTAGCCATTTTGCTTTAAAATCAGGGGAATGTGCTTTTTTAAAAAAATTTTGAAGACATTATAGTTATGTAGGCCAGTATTAATGACTTAACAGTGGAATTCCCAGTCAGGATATTGTGTTCTTGCCAATTTTCACCGACTCTTAAATTGTTCGTATTTTAAAAACAGTCTGCCAGGCACAGCAGCTCATTCCTGTAATCCCAGCACCTTGGGAGGCTGAGGCAGGCGGATTACTTGAGGTCAGAAGTTTGAGACCAGCCTGACTAACGTGTTGAAACCCCATCTCTACTAAAAGTACAAAATTAGCCAGGAGTGTTGGCACATGCCGATAATCCTAGCTACTTGGGAGGCTGAGGCAGGATAATTGCTTGAACCTGGGAGGCAGAGGTTGCAGTGAGCCGAGATCACGACATTGCACTCCAGCCTAGGCAAGAAAAGTGAAATTCTGTCTAAAAAATAATAATAATAAAAAATAAAAATAGTTAAGAGAATTATGAAAAACAGTTGCCATGCTTTCAGCTATAATTCTTTACCTCCCTGATCTCTTGTTCTCTTACAGGGCATCTTTTTGAGTGATTATTTTGATACAGAAATATTTAATTTGTCTGTTTCAGTGGACCCTTTTGAAACCATGCTGAAGTCATTATTAAGGTATCAATCTGGTGGTGGCAATGTGAGTGAAAACCACATGAGGAAAAAATTGTGTGAAAATGGTGTGACTAATTCTCTGAAGAGTAATTTTGCCCTCCTCCTAAAGGTAAGGTGATAAGTAATTTGGTTTAGTGTTCTACCACATAAATAATAGTATTTGTTTTTTTTAGTATTGATATGTACTCTTTGCTACTCTTTTCTTTCCTAAGCTAATTTTATTTTCCTGAAATTAAAAACAACAATAACAAAACACACAACACACAAAAGAAAACAAAAATCTTAACATCCAGACTCATTGTATAAGTTGGAATGATGAGAGTACAGAGCACCTGAAGTTTTCTGTATGTGTATATACGTATATATACACACCTGTATATATGTATATGTACACATATATAGTGCACAAAATATACACATATATGTATGTATTTTATTGTTGTTGAGACAGTCTCGCTCTGTCACCCAGGCTGGAGTGCAGTGGTGTGATCTCAGCTCACTGCAACCTCCGCCTCCCAGGTTTAAGCAATTCTCGTGCCTCAGCTTCCCTAGTAGCTGGGATTACAGGTGTGCACCACCACGCCTGGCTAATTTTTGTGTTTTTAGTAGAGGCAGGGTTTCACCATGTTGGCCAGGTTGGTCTTGAACTCCTGACTTCAAGTGATCTACCCACCTCTGCCTCCCAAAGTGCTCCATGATAGGAGTTTTCAGATGCTGCTTGGTGTAATGTAATGGGGAGCCGAGCAAGAAGACACGAGGCAGATGAGAACTGAGGTAGCCTTTATTGGGCTCGCCAGCGAGGTTCACCGGTCCACTAGGAGGAGGGCTGAGGAAGTCGCGCTTGGGGCAGGTATCGGGGGGCCTTTTATAGGGCGAGGTAGGCGGGGTTTGTAGGTTTCGGTTTTCCTGAGTTAGGTTTCGATTTCTGAGGAATGACGTGTCCAGGAGCTTGCGCAGAGCAGGGGTTTTTTGGCGGGCGCGGGCTTTTTCGCGGGCTGAGAGTCTTAGCAGGAAGTGAAGGGCGGGAAGTCCTAAGAAAGGGCCTGCCATGCCGGGTGATACCGCCATATTGGGTCTAGATTCCTGCCTAACACTTGGCTTTGGCGAGTTCCTTATTCCCACTACAACTCTGAGCTGTAGGGCAACTCCTATTAGCCGTATGCAGATCACCACAAGTCTTAGTCGGCTGCACACTTTCTTGGAGCACACAGTCCCTGGTAAGAGATCTGTGACTCCCCACTTCGCAGCTTATGAGCCTCATTAGGCCCCTCCATTCACACACTTTCACACACTTCCCCACTCCTAGTTCCTGTGTTTGTAGTTGGGGTGGTGAGAGTGGCCACCCAGTTTCCCAGTTGGGGTGGCGAGCCACTCTTGTCACCTCCAGTTTCCTAGTTGGGGTGGCGAGCCACTCTCGCCACTTCCAGTTTCCTTTTCGTAACTCACTTAGCGAGCCACTCTCAAGTCCTGTGTTGGTTCAGGTGTGAGCCACTCTCGTCGCCCCGAGCCCCTCTGGGTCAGAATATTCGGCACACCCCAGGAGGTGCTCAGGCTCCTCTTTTGTCCCCATGGGTCCTGCCTTGGGCCCCAAAGCCTTACTGTGGTTCCTGAAGCGTGCTGTTTCTGAAATCGTCCTTTAGGTTCTGCTGTGCTGCTGAGCAGGGGTGCCAGGTCAGGGGAGAGCTGATCTCCTCTATGGGCTGAAGTTCTCCCGGCAGCGCCTGGGGTCACAGGTCTCCCCTGGCCCAGGGCTCCAGCCCCCAGAGGCAAAGGAGACAGTAAACCTGCCATCTCGGGTCCCTTCGTGGTCACCAAAAATGTTGCGGGGAACTGAGGACCAGAGAGACTGATATGGAGAACAGGAGGATTGTTTATTTTAAGGTACGCACGGGCTCAGTAGATTCGCATCCAAAAAACTGAACATTGAACAACGACAGAGCGGGGTTTTTATAAGCGGACTTACAGAAGCAAAACAAAAGCAGTTAATTATACAGTGACAGGTCACGTAATCTATAGCATAACATAACTTGTGACCTTGCATAGCTGGTGACCTTGTAGCTGTATTGAAAGAAAAACAAGAACTGGCTAAATACAGACATTTGTAATACATAATCATGCTTAAGAAGCCAGGGAAAGGAGTAACAGTAAAAAAAAAAAAGGTATCTTTCTCTTTTTTTCCTTCCTTTAACCTTGCTCCGAATGGGGGTGGTGGTGTCTGGAGCGTTATCCTTTGGCCTTGGCTTTCCGGACAGTGTTATCTTATAACTGTCCTTGAAGTGAGCTTGCTGGGCAGAGAAAAGCTTGTTCTTTTCTTTTCTTTTTTCTTTTCCTTTTTTCTTTTCCTTTTCCTTTTCCTTTTCCTTTTCCCTTCCCTTCCCTTCCCTTCCCGTCTCGTCCCCCCCTCCCTTCCCCTCCCCTCCCTTCCTTTCCTTTTCCTTTTCCTTTTCTTTCTTTTCAGAGGGAGTCTCACTCTGACACCCAGGCTGGAATGTAGTGGCGTGATCTCCCCTCACTGCAACCTCCGCCTCCTGGGTTCAAGCAGTTCTCTGCCTCAGCCTCCTGAGTAGCTGGGAATACAGGCACCTGCCTCCATGCCTAGCTCATATTTTTTATTGTTAGTAGAGACAGGGTTTCACCATCTTGGCCAGGCTTGTCTTGAACTCCTGACCTTGTGATCCACTGCCTCAGCCTCCCAAAGTGCTGGGATTACAGGCATGAGCCACAGCGCCTGGTGTTGGTCTTATCTTTTTAACCCTTGCCTTGCCTGTTACTTTTCTTAGAGTGAATGAATGCATATTTATTTTTAAATTTCTGCCTCAACTTGAGGTCAGGAGTGAGGCTGGCCTGGCCAGCATGGTGAAACCCTATCTTTACTAAAAATACAAAAATTACCTGTGTGTAGTGGCACATGCCTATAGCCCTAGCTACTCAGGAGGCTGAGGCAGGAGCATCGCTTGAACCCAGGAGGCGGAGGTTGCAGTGAGCCAAGATCTTGCCACTCACTGCACTCCAGTCTGGGCGACAGAGCTAGACTCGTCTCAAAACAAAACAAAAACTTCCTATCATTCCAGTGTTTTGTGTGCACAGTAGAATTTTAATGTTATCAGATTATACGCATGGATAATCTTTGTGTTTTTTATTTACTATTGTATTGTAAGCATTTTTTTTTTTTTTTTTCTGAGACAGAGTCTCGCTCTGTGGCCCAGGCTGGAGTGCAGTGGCCGGATCTCAGCTCACTGCAAGCTCCACCTCCCGGCTTTACGCCATTCTCCTGCCTCAGCCTCCCGAGTAGCTAGGATTACAGGCGCCCGCCACCTCTCCCAGCTAGTTTTTTGTATTTTTTAGTAGAGACGGGGTTTCACCGTGTTAGCCAGGATGGTCTCAATCTCCTGACCTCGTGATCCGCCCGTCTCGGCCTCCCAAAGTGCTGGGATTACAGGCTTGAGCCACTGTGCGCTGTCCCTATTGTGAGCATTTTTATAACACTTAGTATTCTTTGAAAATCACATTTGATCTGGGTGTAGTGGCTCACACCTGTAATCTTAGCACTTTGAGAGGCTGAGGCGGGTGGATTGTTTGAGGGCAGGAGTTCAAGACCAGCTTGGCCAACATGGTGAAAGCCCATCTCTACTAAAAATACAAAAAAATTAGCCGGGCATGGTGGCATGCATTTGTAGTCCCAGCTACTTAGGATGTTGAGGCATGAGAATCACTTGAACCTGGGAGGCAGAGATTGCAGTGAGCCAAGATTGTGCCACTGCACTCCAGCCTAGGTAACAGAGTGAGACTCCGTCTCCAAAAAAAAAAAAAAGAAAGAAAGAAAAGAAAATCACGTTTGAAAAGAATCTGTAATGCCAATTTTACCTTCTAAATGCCTTTCAAATTGATCTACTTCTCTCCCATCAGCATTGCCATCACCCTGGTTTAGATTTACATAATTTACCTGGATTGCTTATTTCTCTTTCCCCTTTCCTCCCCATCTGTTTTCCCATGCTTTGCAGTTGACAGGTACTTCTTGGCAGTCCGATGAAACCTTTGACTCCTTCTGAGAGTAACATTTTTAAATGCATAGCTAAAGGAAACCAATATAGTTACAAAATATTAATACTTTTTATAAAAACTTACGATATTATATTTGCCTCTTTGTTAATGTGTTAAATAGCAAGATTTATAGCAAGATCTAATAATCTTTCCAGAAATTTCCATGATTTTAAAGTAGTGATGCAAGGGCCAAAATTATTATTATGAGATTTTTCCAGTATTTATAATGGGAACATATTTTGAGATTTGTATTGGTTTAAAAAGTCAGAGCCTATACTCATAATTGAAGGAAATGCCAAGTTTTATTCAGAGGTTAATTAAAAAGAAAGATTGTTTTTTTCCCCTGATCTGAGTTCATAGACTGCACTGGATTCCATGAACAGACCCTTTGGTATCTGTGGACTCTAGTTTGAAAACCCCTTTGTTCTTGGGACAAACTCCAAATTTTTAATGTAGTCTTCAGGACTTTTAATGATTTAGCCTGGCTACTTTTCCAGCCTGGTTTCCCACATTCTCATTTGGCTTATAGTCTAGTCACACTTGTTTTCTTTTAAGTCTTCAGATGTACCCTGTTCCCTCCTATCTCAGGGCCTGTTTATGCTATTCACTTTGCCTGGAATGCATCTCCAGTCATCCACACACCTAGCTAATGTGTGTTCGTTTTTCAGCTCCTAGTTTAAATGTCACTTCCCCAGGGACACTCTCTCTGATCATCCCACATTGCTAGATAGGTCCCCTTTTATTTATTTTGTTTTAATTTTTTAATTTTTTAAGACAGAGTCTTGCTGTGTGGCCTAGGCTGGAGTGCAATGACCTGATCATAGCTCACTGTAACCTCAAATTCCTGGGCCCATGGGATCCTCCCACCTCAGCCTCCTGAGTAGCTGGGACTACAGGCATGTGCCACCATGACTGGCTAGTTGTATTTAAAATTTTTTTGTAAAGATGTGTGTCTCATTATGTTTCCTAGGCTGGTCTTGAATTCGTGGCCTCAAGTGTTCCTCCCACCTTAGTCTCCCAAAGTGCTGGGTTTTCAAGCATGAGCTACTGCACCCGGCCAGGTTCCCC